ACATCATGTTAACAAGTTGAAGAATAAAAACCATATGGCTATCTCCATAAATGCAGAAAAAGGGTCTGATAAAATACAACATGATTATATCATGATTAAAAAAAAAGCTTAAGTAAATTGGGTATAGAAGGAACATTCCTCAACACAATAAAGGCAATATACAACAAACCCATAGCCAGAGTCATATTGAATGAAGAAAAGTTGGAAGCATTTACATTAAGATCCAGAACCACAGAAGGATGCCAACTTTCACCACTGCTATTCAATATAGTTCTGGAAGATTTAGACAGAACCATTAGGCAAGAAAACAGAAATTATAGGGATACAAATTGGAAAGGAGGAAATCAAATTATCTCTGTTTGCAGATGACATGATCTTATATATGGGGAAACCAAAAGACTCCACTGAGAGACTATTGAAAATCATAAGAGATTTTGGTAAAGTTGCAGGATATAAAATCAAAACAAAAAAAATCAATACCTTTGTATACACAGATAATGACATGGCTGAGAAAAACTTGTAAGATTCACAATAGCTACAAAAATTTAAATACCTTGAAATAAATTTAGCCAAGAAGGGGAAAGTTATCTACAATGAAAATTACAAAACATTAAAAAACTAAATAGAAGACACAAAAATGGAAAAAATTCCCATGTTTGTAGACTGGAAGAATGAAAGAATTAATATTACCAAAATGTCCATAATGCTAAAAGTAATTAACAGATTCAATATAATCCCCATCGAAATACCAACATTCTTCTCAGAACTAGAAAAAAATGATGTGAAAATTCATACAGAAAAACAAGAGACTTGGAATAGGAAAATCAATTTTAAGAAACAAAGCTGGAGGTATCACAATGCAGATTTCAAGACATACTACAGGGCAGTAATAATTAAACCAGCCTGGTAGTGGCACAAAAATAGACATGTTAACCAATTGAATAGAATAGAAACCCCAGAAATCAACCTATGCATCTACAAACAACTAATCTTTGACAAAGGAGTTAAAATCACTCCTTGGCTAAAGTAGAGTTTCTTCAGCAAACGGTGCTGGGAAAATTGGATCTCCACATGTAGAAACATAAAACAAGACCCCTACCTTACACCTTTTACAAAAGTCCACTCAAAATGGATCAAGCATCTAAGCATCTAAATCTATGATCTGATAACATCAAAATACTAGAGAAAAACATCAAGTAAATTCTGTATGATATTGTGATATGCAAAGACTTCTTGGCAAAGATCCCAGAAGCACGGGCAATCAAAGCAAAAATTGACAGGATTACATCAGTCTAAGAAGTTTTTGCACTGCAAAGGAAGCACTTGATAAAGTGAAGAAGAAATTGAGAGAGTGGGAGAAAATATTTGCAAACTATGCAACTGATAAATGATTCACATCCAAAATCTATATAGAGCTCTAGAAACTCAACAACAACAAAACAAAAAATCCAGTTAAGAAATGGCAAAGGACATGAACAGCAATTTTTCAAAGGATGACATTCACACGGCCAACAGACACATGGAAAGATGTTCAGAATCACTAGCCATCAGAGAAATGCAAATTAAAACCACAATGAGGTTTCACCTCACCCCTGTTAGAATGGCTATCATCCAAAAAAACCAAAAAACAAAAACAAAAAACCCCACAGGGGCTGGACCTATGGTCTAGTAGGCTAAAGCCTTCACCTGCCTTGCCGGTTTCCTATATGGACATTTGCTCATGTCCTGGCTGCTCTTCTTCAAATCTAGGCTCTTTGGGTATGGCCTGCAAAAGCAGTATAAGATGTCCCAAGTTCTTGGGCCCCTGCACCCATGTGGAAGGCTCAGAAGATGCTCCTGGCTTTGCCTCAGCTCAGCTCTGGCCATTGTGGCCATTTGGGGAGTGGAGTGAACCAGTGGATGGAAGACCTTTCTTTGTTTCTCTCCCTCTCTCTGTCTGCAATTCTACCACTCAAATACATACATAAAATCTTAAAAAGAAAAACAATAAATGCTGGAAAATATATGGATAAAAAGTACCCTAATTCACCACTGGTAGGAACATGAACTAGTATAACATTATGGAAGACAGTATGAAGATTCTTCAGAAACCTGAAAATAGATTTACCATATGACCCAGCTATTCCATTCTTGGGAATTCACTCAATCGAAGTTAAATCAGCATATGAAAGACTTGTCTGTACCCCATGTTTACTGCAGCTCAATTCACAATAGCTAAAGTATGGAATCAACCCAGATGTCCATCAACTGATGACAGGATAAAGAAATGTGGCATATACATCCTATAGAATATTCAGCCCTAAAAAAGAATGAAATCCTGTATTTTGTAACAAAATTAATGCAACTGGAAGCCTTTATTTTTAGTGAAATAAGCCATTCCCCAAAGACAAATATATGTTTTCTACGATTTATGGTAAATAATACTCAGAATATAAAAAAGCTATGTATATGGACAAAATTGACATTTTACAATTTGATTGTTTACAGCCCTTTCCTATACTCTGATCAACAGTTGTTTTTCTACTTACTACTGGTTAAATTATTTACTAGAAGGTTAAGCTTATGATTTTATAATAAACTGAAAGTATGTCATACAAAAGACATACAAAGTATTTCATACAAAAGAAAACATAAGATAGGAAAGAGGAGACCGGTGCCATGGCTCACTAGGCTAATCCTCCGCCTTTGGCGCCAGCACCCCAGGTTCTAGTCCCAGTCGGTGCAATGGATTCTGTCCCGGTTGCCCCTCTTCCAGGCCAGCTCTCTGCTGTGGCCCCGGGAGTGCAGTGGAGGATGGCCCAAGTCCTCGGGCCCTGCACCCACATGGGAGACCAGGAAACGTACCTGGCTCCTGGTTTCAGATCAGCACGGTGCGCCAGCCGCAGCGGCCATTGAGGTGTGACCCAACAGAAAAGGAAGACCTTTTCCTCTGTCTCTCTCTCTCTCACTGTCCACTCTGTCAAAAAAAAAAAAAAAAAAGAAAGAAAGAAAAGAGGAAGGAGGGTGGGAATATGGGTGGGAAGAGCAAAGGGTATGAAGTATCACTATGTTCTTAAATCTGTATATATGAAAAACATGAAACTACTTCACTTTATATAAATAAAAATTTTAAATAGTTCAACATATTGGCAAATGAAGCAATATGGAATCAATTGAAATGCTTCAATAGCTCCTTATCATATTCAGAATAAATGAATCACCATCATGATGAACATGATTCTGTGATATCTAGCCTTGCTCACTCTAACCTCAGTTTGTCACTCATCTGCACTGATCTTGAACCCGAGACAATTACAAACCTCTTTCCTCCATGAATTTTTCAGAGCTATCCATCTCATTGAAATGGTCTCACAAAAGCCTGCCCAGATCCCACTAGAGTTCCATATGTCTCACCTCTTTGGGGGAAGTCTGGGTTGGAATGTCATCTCCTGCACATTCATTCACAAGCTGTGCATAACTCTACTCTCACAGTTTCCACAGTATTTCATCAATGTATTTTTACTTATTTAACATCTTACAAAGCATTGTGGGCAGTGACTATATCTGAATGGTTTCTCTACCCAGTCTCTAGCTCATTATGTGATGCTAAAAGTCTTCCCAGAAATGCTCATTTTGTGAATGAGACGAATGTCTCTTTTCTACTTACCTTCAAATCACTCAATACTCCAGTACCCAGACTCTCTTTAACAATCACATGGCTGTGACAAAGTCCTGAAAAGATGCATTTTCTAGTCTTCCCACTCTTTGTCTTGTACCTATAAGGGGAGAATCAGGCAGCAAGAAATGACTTGCTCCTAATGAGAGACACAAGAATAGAAGAGCTAGAAGCCAGCACTGTTCCGAGCCTATTTAGGACATGAGTTCTAAGTATTTCATGGGATGGGCAGTGGGTGTAGCAACAAGCAGACACTTGCTTCCTGGGGTCTTTCCACTATGATGAAAATGGTACTGAGAGGAAGACATTCCTTACAAAAAGGAAAGCAAAACTGAATCTACAATGTGAGTGGTGCATCAATAGCTTACTAATTCATGGTGAATAGCAAGGCCTCCTGGAAAAATAATTGTCATTATAGACCAATTATAGTATCACAGGAATATACCAGGCAATTCACCAGTATATTTTTCCTAAATTATACCATAGTCCCCAAGGTAAAGGTCTGGGTCCCCTTTTATAGGTGAGGAAATGAGGCTCAGAAAGATTTATTTCCTTGCCTAAGTCCCTCTTCACGTCCAGGCCTGTCTACTCCAATGTCTATGCCCTTTTCACAGCATCATGTTGCAAAATGTTCTCTGAAGATTTTGATGAGCCCTGAGAACAGCGGTAAGCAGTGGAGAATAAGGAGGAATACTACAAAGGTAGAAGACTCAGAAGCAGTGATTGGAATTTGAAACCAAACAATACAGAGTCCACAGTTTTACTATGTACTTATTTTCTTTCAAAAAATATTTATTTACTTATTTATTCAAGAGGTAGTTAGAGACAGAGACAGAGACAGAGACAGAAAGGTCTTTCATCCACTGGTTCACTCCCCAAATGGTTGTAGTGGCTGGAGCTGAGCCTATCCAAGGCCAGGAGCTTCTTCAAGGTCTCACATGTGGGTGCATGGGCCCAAGTACTTGGGCCATTTTCCACTGTCATAAGCAGAAAGCTGGATCAGAAGAGGAGGAGCTGGGACACAACCTGGTGCCCATATGGGATGTTGGTGCTGCAGGTGAAGGCTTAGCCTAATACACGCCTACTGTGAACCCTTGTTCTTTCAGTTTCCTGTGGTTAATGTGTGAGCCCAATCAATGGAGCACCTCAGGCCAGGGCAGAAGGAAAGACATCCTGCTCCACCAGAAGGTGCCCAGTGTCACAGGAATGATCAGAAAAAGCAGGGAGGCTGTTGCTGAGCCTTTCCCTTGCCTGATGACTTACTTCTCAAGGTCAATTCACTTGGGCACCCAGGGCACCTGGTGCAGCAGTCCTGACAAGAGACAGGGGCACACTTCTCAGTTAGGAACATGTCACAAGGAATGGCACTTTTCTATCCCAGGATCACTGTGGTTTACCAGTGTGGATGTGAAAGGATACTGGAGACAGCAAAGTACTAACAGAAGATGTCTGAATGGATTGGAGTAGACTCAGACACTGAGTCTACAACTGTTATATGGACTAGGAATAGCAGAGCTCTCAGACCACATTTATAAGCTGTGCAATAAAGAAGAAAAATATCCGAGTTTTGGAGCCAGATACACAGTTTGTTTACTATTGTGATCAGAGGAATATCAACTAACTTCTTAGCCATTCAATTGCAAAAGGATTATTTTAATTATTTTGCAAGGAAAAACACATTGTGGGTGCTCAAAATGCTTCAGGTATTTTATATTGCTTTCCAGCCCAGGAAACCCTCATGGCATACAAGTGTTCAGTACTGTTGTATGATAATGCCCATTAGATAAGAATTGAAGAACAAAGGACATACATGTGTCTCTAATCTCTGGTCTATAAAATTATGTGATTAACTGCTTTTGAGCCTTTCAAACTGGAATTCCAAACTGTGAATTCTCTAAAGTTATAAGCCATATATATTTTTTCCATGGCCCAGCAATAAGGTTGGCGTATTGTTGACATTCAGTAAATGTTTGCTGTGTCAAAGAACAAATGGATGAAAGAACTTATGGGTCAGTTTGGGCCAGAGCACATTTGGGTCAGATTTGGGTCCCATTTGAAGGATGTCCATCTTTGTCCTTCTCAAAGGCCAACTGGGCTAGTACCAATTGGATCACTTAATGCTTCTCCAGTGAAGCACATGTTCACTTTCTTCACTCTGTGTTTACTTATTCACAGCCCATAAGAGCTGTTAGCTGGATACATCCAAGGTTCCACATCACCTGCCCCAAGGTGAGAGGCTGTTTTCCTCTAATAATTTTCAAATGCATTTAAACTCCTGGCCTTAAGCATCACTAGTGGGAACTTACAGAATCTTAATTCCTTGCACAGCTACAAAAAGTTCTTGCAGCCCCCAGTAGGACTCAGAACAGTGAAGTCACAGAACCTTGCTGGAAAAAAAGTGTCTGAATGCTACAATCAGAAAATGCTCAGAGACCACCTTGTAGGCCTCTTTCTCCAACAGATGGGGAATGAAGAAAAAGGAAGTACATCTCCCATTCCTCTTACAAATAGTAAGAATTCAAACACTTCTATAGCTGATTTTTATTTTCTTCCTCCCCAAATGCATGGCTTCTCCTATTGTATAACAATTTACATTCACATTCTGATTGCTTCAATCAGAGATTAGGAAGTTTTCTTGTAATCTACCCTCTTCCTTCCCTTTCCCTGTCTCTTGGGTCTTTCACAGCCTTGTAACCATCTGTTCTTTTACCACTTCCAGGAAGTGATGAGAAGCTCCCATGAACTGACCTCACAAACATCCCATCCATTTGTCCTTTGCATTCTCTTTGCATCCTTACTATGGAACATGCAAACAGCCTTCAAACATGCCTCTCTCAACACTCTTGCCTTGTCCGACCTACCCTCATCTTACCTCCTGGATAATCCTTCTAAAACTACTCAAAAGGGTGGGCATTTGGTACAGCAATTAAGACACTCCTGTGGATGCCCATATCCCATTTTGGAGTGCCTGGCTTCTAGCCTTGGCTTTACTTTTGCTATCAGCTTCTTGCTAATGTATACCCTACATCAAGCATTTAGGTCCCTGTCACCCATGGAGGAGACCTGAATTGATTTTCCAACTCCTGCTTTCATCGTGACCCAACCCCAGTTGTCATTGCCATTTGGGGGAGTCAGACAGTGGATATAAGATCGCTTTTGTGGACCAGCGCCATGGTGCAGTAGGTTAATCCTCTGCCTGTGGCGCAGGCATCCCATACAGGCGCTGGTTCTAATCCCGGCTGCTCCTCTTCCAGTCCAGCTCTTTGCTATGGCCTGGGAAAGCAGAAGACGGCCCAAGTCCTTGCGCCCCTGTGCCCACTTGGGAGACCAGGAAGAAGTGCCTGGCTCCTGGCTTCAGATCGGTGCAGCTCTAGCCATTGTGGCCATTTGGGGAGTGAATCAATGGATGGAAGACCTTTCTCTCTGTCTCTCCCTCTCACTGTCTGTAACTCTAACTCTCAAATAAAATCAATAAAATCTTTTTAAAAAAGATAGCTTTGTGTCTCTCAAATATTAATAAAAAAGCTTCTCAGAAACTATCAATGCCTTCCCACATACTATAGCTAAATGCTAAGCTTCTTAACATGGCATGTAGCACTCTTTGAAAGCCAGTCCTAACTGAGTTTGTATTGGCCTCCTACCACTTTCCTAAGCAGTCACACAGCAGCATCTTCAGGCTTTACATCTTTGTACACTCTACCCCCACCCAGCTTTTCCTTGTGGACCCAGGGCATATACCATCTCCTGTTTTGTTTAGTTTATAATCTTCACTAAGGATGTGAATTGAAAGGGGTGATATCAAAATCAAATTCTTTAATTTCAAACTCAGTATTCATTGTACTATTCCACAAAGCAAAAGGTAGATCTCAGTAAGGGATTTTTTTACTAAAGATATATTTATCCAAAAAAAAACTGTGTTGATTGGATTAGCAGATTATGTTTATGTTTGGAGCAAATCATTTATTACCACTTATCTTAAGTGCTTCTTCAGGTGGAAAGCAAGCTAAGGTGGATTTGCCTGCAGATTGTGACTTTTCAACTCAGATTATTCACTTTTTTTTCTTTTAACTTTTATTTAGTAAATACAAATTTCCAAAGTACAGCTTATGGATTACAATGTCTTTTTCTCCCCCATAACTTCCCTCCCACCCGCACCTCTCCCAGCTCCCACTTCCTCTCCCATTCCATTCACATTAAGATTCATTTTCAATTATCTTTATATACAGAAGATCCATTTAGTATATATTAAGTAAAGATTTCATCAGTTTGCACCCACACAGAACATAAAGTGTAAAATACTATTTAAGTACTAGTTATAGCATTAATTCACATTGGACAACACATTAAGGACAGAGATCCTACATGAGGAGTAAGTACACAGTAACTCCTGTTGTTGACTTAACAATTTGACACTCTTGTTTATGGCGTCAGTAATCTCCCTAGGCTCTAGTCTTGAGTTGCCAAGGCTATGGAAACTTTTTGAGTTCGCCGACTTCAATCTTATTTAGACAGGTAAGTCAAAGTGGAAGTTCTCTCCTCCCTTCAGAGAAAGGTACCTCCTTCTTTGATGGCCCCATTCTTTCCACTGGGATCTCACTCGCAGAGATCTTTCATTTAGGTTTTGGGTTTTGTTGTTTTTTTGTTGTTGTTGTTGTTATTGTTGTTGTTGTTGTTTTTTGCCAGGGTGTCTTGGCTTTCCATGCCTGAAATACTCTCATGGGCTCTTCAGCCATATCCAAATGCCTTAAGGGCTGATTCTGAGGCCACAGTGCTGTTTAGGACATCTGCCATTCTATGAGTCTGCTGTGTATCACGTTTCCCATGTTGGATCGTTCTCTCCCTTTTTTATTCTATCAGTTAGTATTTGCAGACACTAGTCTTGTTTATGTGATCCCTTTGACTCTTAGACCTATCAGTGTGATCAATTGTGAACTGAAATTGATCACTTGGACTAGTGAGATGGCATTGGTACATGCAACCTCGATGGGATTGTATTGGAATTCCCTGGCACATTTCTAACTCCACCATTTGGGGCAAGTCCGATTGAGCATGTCCCAAATTCACTTTCATATGAGAAGCTGCCAGCCATGGATACACTCAGAAGGAAAGAATTGATGACTCATCCAGATTCACTACTGGGTATGGCATTCTCGGACAAGATCACACCTTATTCTTGTCCACAAAGAAGCATGAGCCCAGCAAGAAATACAAAGTATAGCCTAGGGCTATCTTCACTTTGTAAGCCCTGTTCCTGCTCTTTTTCATATTGACTCTATAAGTAGTGGAGTCATGTGTAAAATTTGTCTCATACCATTGAACACAGCAAGCCAGTTTATTCTTTAAAAAACTTAATTATTTAAAAGGCAAAGTGACAGAAAAAAAGAGAGAGAGAAAGAGATCTTCCATCTTCTAGTTCACTTATGGCTGAAATGGCCAAAAGGGAGTGGAGGGGCAGATCTAAGCCAGGAGCCTAGAACTCCATTTGGGTCTCTCACTTAGGTTGCTGGAGCCCAAGTATTTGAGCCATCGTACAGGGAGCTGGACTGAAAGCAGAGCAGTCAGGACTCCAACTAGCATTCCCATATAGGATGCCAGTATTACAAGCAGCAGCTTAAACTGCTTTGCCAAACCATCAGCCCCTGTGGCTAGGTTTGTTTTGAAGATTTGGCTCTCCTTTCAGTGGAAGTCCAGCATATCACAGTATGTCAAATATTATTGTGAAAAAATAAAAAAGATGACGACTAGGAGGAAAAAGCTCAACAGTTATAAACAGAGGGCATTTCAGGTGCTTAAACAATATAAACCGTATAGGGTGCCTAAAAGCCATATGGATGTTTATTATTCTTTTTAGAAACTTGTGCATAGTTGTATTTACATCCAGCTTGAAATTTGGTTTTTATTACTCTAATTCTCTGTCTGAACATATGCCATGGTTCATAAAATATTCATTCTATAAACACATAGTACTCTTGTGGAAATGAATAAACATCAGACTAGAATCTAGTTCATCTAAGTAGTCCTCACCAGAGGGTTGGTTTCATTAATTTCTTTCTTTTTGCCTTTTGTTTACCGTGGGTTTTATCATTTCCCAATTAAGGTGCTGTTCCAGCTACAAAATTCAGAGTAATCCTTCAGCAAACATTTTGACCTCTGGCAATACTGAAATGAAGTTGTCATGGCCAAATGGTTAGATTTCAACTGTGGCCACATTGCTGAGTATAGATTCATGGTTTTGTTGAATATTCCCTAGTTGATGGACATCTATTAATTATAAAATGACCAAGGAAATAGTTTTCCAAGGGAGATTCAAGCAATTGACAGAAAAATAAGTCCTGGGCTAACTTCATGAATTTCTCAGCATATTCTTTCCTTTTGTTCCTCATGGTGTCTTCTTTATGACTAAAATTTTTGTTGGATCCTCATGGAAAAATGTAGACTGATATTAAGGAAGTATGCTGATCCTAACTCTTTTGAGAATGAAAAAAATCATAATAAGTGTTGCTTAATTTCTCCCCCTCCCTGGTGGTAGGACTTGATCACTTACACCTAATGAACAGAAGAGGAAATATTAATTTCACAGTTACTGTAGTTATAGTGAATGAGAAACCCAATGGATTCCACCTTTGCTAAGTAATAAGTTATCTTCCCAGTAATAAGCAATTGCTATAATGTTCTTCTTGATATGAACATGAGATGATATGAGATGATGAGGAGGACTCCTTGCCACTGTACTATTCCTTCCCTGAAATTAGAACCCCAGGAAATACATGAGTGAACATCAGACAGACCCAATTGACAGAAACCCTACAAAAACTAGTACTCTTCAAAAGCACTAAGATCATGAAAAACAAGTCTAGGAAACTTTCAAGTTGGAGGAAACTGTGGAGAAATGACTATTAATGTAATCTCTCCAAATGGATTCCAAAGGAGAAAAATCATATTCATGAAAATACTAATTATATATGGTAATATTTACCTAGTTTATTCTCGTACAAGTGTTAATTTTTTTAATATTTACAAATGCATCTTGATTTTGTTACGTTAAGTAGGGTAAAAAGCATTCAAAGACTCTGTGCTACCTTACAACCTTTGGTATATCTAAAATTATTACAAAATTAAACACTGGTTGGGCAAGCATTGTGATGCAGAAGGTTAAGCTATACAGCCTGTAATACTGCACCTCATATTGCAGAACTGACCTGAGTTGTGGCTGCTTCTCTTCAGATTCAACTCTCTGCTAATGCACCTGGGAAAGCAATAGAAAATGGCCTGAGTACTTGAGCCACTGCACTCATGTGGGAGACCCGGAAGAAGCTCCTAGCTTCAGCCTGTCCCTGTTCCAGCTGTGCAGCCATGTGGGGAGTGAACCAGCAGATGGAAGCTCTCTCTCCTCCCCCTTGCCTCCCTCTCTCTTTCTCTCTCTGTGTGTGTGTGTGTGTGTGTGTGTGTGTGTGGTGTCTTCCTCTCTTTCTGTAACTCTTATTTTCAAGTAAATAAATCTTTTTAAAAAGTGGATGGTCAAGAAAATGGAAAAATAAACCACAAATTTGGAGAAATGATTTGTAAAAAGACATACCCAATAAAAGATATCCAAAATACCTTGAAACTCTTAAAACACAAACATTAACAGTTCAATTTACAAATGGTAAAATATATGAAATTTCATCAATGAAGCTATATAAATGATAAAAATAAGTATAGTAAAAGATGTTCAACATTATATATCATTAGGGAATTGCAACTACACACTTGATTACAACCGTCAAAATCCAGAACACTAACACTAAATGTGGAGCTACAGAAACTCTCATCCATCACTGGTAGGAAAGAACAACGATACAGTTACTTTGGAAAAGGGTTTTGCAGCTTTTTATAATACTAAACATGATTTGCCAATCATGTTCCTTGGTATTTAATCAAATGAGTAGAAAACTGATGGTAACACAGAAGCCTTAAAACGAGTATATCTAGCAGTTTTATTCATAGTTGCCAACATTTGTAAGGAAATAAGATGTCCTTCAGTATTATAATCAGACAATAGAATATTATGCAACAGCAAGAGAAATGAGCTATGAAACCAAGAGACGACATTGAAGAACCTGAAATTTATACAACTAAGGGGAAAAAGTCAATCTGATAAGACTACATGCTGCGTGATTTACATTCGGAAAAAGGCTGAACTGTGGTGACACAAGATAAGTGGTAGCCAGAGTTTTAGGGGCAGTGACTGATAAATAGGAATAGAACAGAAGATTGTTAGGGCTGTGACACTCTTCTGTAAGACACTATGATTGTGGGTCTATGTCATGATACACTTGTCCAGACCCATAGAATGTACATCACCAACAGTGAACCCAAATGTAAACTACTGACTGTGGGTGATGATGATGTGTCAGTGTAGGTTCATCAACTAAAAAAATGATCCACTGTTGTGTGGAGTATTAATAATGTGAGAGGATTCATTAGGGTGTAAGGGGTATAGGTAATATATAGGAAATCCCTGTAAACCTTTTGTAATAAACCTAAAACTGCTGTAAAAATAAATTAGAATTAAAAAAGCAAAAACACTCCTTCTTAGATATCTCAATATTTTGCCTATGCATGAATTCCATAAGCAATTGAACTGAAACATGCCCCAAACTGAACTTATCACCTGTCATGCTTCTACCACTCTCCAATTTCTTATTTCCACTGGTGACCTAGTAATCTGCCCAAGTCCAATAATAATTCTCTACTCTTCCCTTTGTGCCTCCAATTTATTGATCATTATATCCTATTGAATCCAAAGTTGTGTATTTCTTTCAAATAAACCTTTGTGTTTCTATTCCCTGGCCCTATACTCAAAGAATCCTTTATTCTAGTCCTGTTACCTTCCAAGTTGCCCCATAGTGCCCCTCCAGAAAGTAGGCTAAAGATGTTCCTCCCCACCTCATAACTTCCAAACTCCACTACCCACGGAATAGGGACCAGGGAAAACCTCTACCATTCACTCACTATTGTTTTCCAGTGCAATGGAGCTTACCTGGGAATACTGCCCATACCAGGCCCATCCCAAATGCACGTCTCTGTGTATGCTGGCCTCCCAATCCTGATCACCTTTCCCGCCTGACAGAAAGTCTTCTCTGTCTTTCAAGCCACAGCCCAGATCTCTATTTTTCTGGGAAGTTTCTCTATTAAGTTCTCACCCTTGGGAGGATGAGGTTTCTTCTTTGAGTTAATATATAATTTTTCTGGTTCTTCTAAGAATATTATGTTCAAATAATATATTCAATTATGTGTCCTTAACAGCAAAACCCTCTCTTATTCAACTTTGCATTGTCCAGTCCCTGGCACTTATTCAGGTTTAATGCTTCAAGCTTTCCTCAAAACTTTTTTTAAAGTCTTATTTATTTTTAATTGGCTATTAGTTTTTATCATTTTCTTTCAATTTTTATTTAATAAATATAAATTTCCAACATACAACTTTTGAATTATAGTGGCTTTCTCTCCCCATAACCTCCCTCCCACCTGCAATCACCATCTCCCACTCCCTCTCCCATCCCGTTCTTCATCAAGATTCATTTTCGATTATCTTTATAAAACAGATCAACTTAGTATATACTAAGTAAAGATTTCAACTGACTGCACCCACACAGACACATAAAGTATAGAGTACTGTTTGGGTAGTAGTTTTACCGTTCATTCGCATAGCACAACACATTAAGGACAGATTCAATAATGTTCACAGGGCAACATCCTATGTAGACCAAAGACCATTGTCCATGTGGTTGTGAGTACGTCTGCAGCACAAGATAAACTTGTTAATGCATATATTTTTATTGCAGTGTTTCCATGTTGTGTTGGTAGAGATCATTCATCTCTTACATACTCTGTAACAGTGCAGTCATTTTCTTATATTTGTGTTAGGCATGGGGTGGTTGTCCTTAAATGTCATTTTTCCCAGAAATTGTCAGTAAAATATATTTTACTCTATGTTTAATTCTCTCCTTGGATGCAGTTCCTAGATGAAATATCCAAATGCTTTCTGTGTGAATGTTATGAGAATATCAGACTGGTTCTTCATCAATTTTGACAACGGTTTCTCAAAATTCTCTTCTATAAAGAATTAATTTGTGTTTATTGCAGATAACCACCCTAGCTGAGAGGACTTTGAATAATACAAATATTGCATAATCATGTTATTTGTATCCTTTGACAGCAGAATCTACATTGCTTCGTTTAATGAGAAATTGAATGGAAGATGTGTTTGAAAAATTAATCTATTTTAATAATATATGGCACTGATATCAGCCATCTCTGACAGGATTTAAACCTATAAACTAAGAGACCATGAATACCAATTACAGTTAAAAGTAATGAGATATGTATTATTTCCCTAAGAAAATTACTTTTAAAAATATGCATTCTGACATCTTCAAGATTAATTACACAATTATGCAGTCCCAAACTGTAATCAGTAAAATTCTAAGCAGCAGTGAGAAAAAGAGAATTCATATTTGCTAAAAATGTGAAAGCCTCACTTTTTTTTTGCTTTGCAAAGTCATTGAAGTTGAGAGACTATATTGTTCCAATAAAAATATTTACCAATTGCATATCTAGCAAAGTCTAGAGATTGGCGGAATATCACAGTATACAAAAAATAATGAATAAACATTGCAAAATGCACCCAGTCAAAACAAAGACTGAATATTGGAAAGTCAAAAAAAATAGGTTCTGTACTTAAGGGAGGTTAATCAAATAGATTAGAGATAAAAATCCATGTATTACAAAGATTTTACACCACTTTGTTAAGCACTGCTTTCTAAAGGCACACATTAAAGTACTAAGGTGAATAAACCAAGATAGAAACCACAGGTGGCAAACTAGCTTTGACGTTCAATAGTTTCTCAGGCCAAAGCTTGGAACACACAGCCCGAGTAGACTAACACATCAGAGGGCTCCACTGACATCTGCCTGGTCCCTGGATTGCGAGAGTGAATGTCCATCCCTTCTCCAGAGAAGAAGCCCACTGCATCACACTGGCGCCAATTTCAAAGTCAGGCAGCTGTGAGTATTAGCAAAGTCTTCATTATATGGGGCGGAATGAAAATCAATTTGGTCTTTTTAATCATGGGTCCTTGTTCTAGTCTTTAGTACCAAAAAGTCCCTTTAGTCTGACTCCTCTGCCATTGTTTGAAGACAGTCACCTGCCTCTGCTTTCAGACTTATACTCTCCAGGCCAAATAACTCCAGTTTCTTATTTCAATGCACAGCTTTTCATTTATTCCAAATAAACTTAAAAGTCTAAGAGAACAAAGGCCTTATGCTAGTCATGCAGTTACTACTAAACCTGATTTGGACACACTATAGACTTTTAGTAAATATTGTTCAGGTAAATAGCTCTGTATCTCTCAGTAACGCATTCTTCTCCTTTGATTTCTCGCTTTATAAAATAAGTTTCCTAGGCATTGTTCTGCCTTCACTTCAATGCAGGATTAGATAAATGGTCTATGTCAAATGGGTACATATAATCTCAAAAAGTAGGGTGGAAGAGGCTCAAGGTTCTTGGGAAGGAAATGGTAACTCTCACCCTTAAGAGAATCAACTAAACATTACCATCTCAGAAAAGGTAGGGCAGAGAAAGAGATCAATAGATCTTAGTAAGCCAGGAGCCTGCCTTATGGCTCAGTGGGTTAAGCCACTATGCATGAAAAGAGTATGCCATATTGCATCCCAGATGATTCATTTCCAATCTAGGTTCCTGCTAGCTCAGCTGGGAAAGCAGTGGATGATGGCTCAAGTGCTTGGGCTCCTGCCACCAACCAGGGAGTCTGAGTGGAGCTCTGAGCTTCTAGCCTTGCCCTGGTCCACCCCTGACAATGGTGGCCACCTTGGGACTGAACTAGTAGGTAGAAGATCTCTGTTTCCATCATTCTTTCAAATAAGGAAATATTTTATAGTGTTCCAAACAAGATGGGACTTTAATTTTTTTCCATGAAACAATTCAGATAGATATACACAGCTATTCCACAACACCAGTTAGGAGTCAGATTGTTTACCTTTTTACACTGTATCCCGTAAAAAACGTTCTGTCCACAACATACACCTGTGCCCCAGACAGAATGAAAACAGAAAGGTAGAAAGTAGAGAGCAAGTAGTTTCCTTTCAAAGAAGTAACACAAAAGTTACCCACAGCACTTCTGTGCATATTCTATTGGCCAGAAGTTATTCATGTAGCAACATCAGTTTAAAAGAAGCTGTAATTGA